GCAGCAACGAATTTAAATTTGCCCAACACGTTATGCTCCAAACTGACAACAGGTGGACTTCCGTCATAACCGAATGGTGTTCGTGGGAGGTGCAATGGCCAACCGCTAGTGAAATTAATGTTTCCGTCCTTAAAAATTTTGTTATCGTTTGTGGGCCGAACGCACACTATCTTGAAAAATGGCTCAGATGTGGTGTTCCGCTTCCTCTCCAAAATGCTTAAATAGTAAAGTGACATAAGTGATCTAAAAAAGTTAGATAAAATGATGTTCACTGCATCTCCACACTACTACATGCCTATGGAGTGTTGAAGGCTACAATAACGAACTGACATTTTTGACAGCTTGTTTAGGCGCTACTATATTCTTGATGCACTTGCGAAAGTATTAGTTGCAAAAGCCCTTAAAACATCACTGACGAGAACTGAAATATTGCATTAGCCCAAAACATGATGGATTTAAGTACGCATGCTTTCAAATATCATGAAGACCTAGACTGCTTAAGTAGCTTCCTGAGCGACTAGGAAAAACGGAACAGCCGCAGAGAGCATTTAAACCTGGTTTTATGAGGCTGTACGTTTATTTACATAATCCCCGGGAAACGCATTTGAAACTATTTTTGCCATAAACTAGCTATGTGTAAATTTTAGAATTTGTACTGCGTTTTAAAACAAAATTATACTGCGTTCTCTGCATAGCGTGACTCTCATTCACTGTTATAAGAAACGATTCAATTTTTGATCTTTAGGGATGGTGCCTCGCATTAATTTAGGAATATATCAGAGCGCACCGATCAGTCGAAGGTGCTTAAGAAAGTTCCGTACTGGTTTATCGAAAAAACAGAACATGAGTCATTTGCATTCCACGCCATCTTCGAAGGATTCGTTTTGAGTTTGCCCTAGCGGCATTTTGTTTTTTTGGTTTTGTTTCAGATTTTTGACTAATTTCTGCTTCGTTGTTTGTTTAAAGCAGTTGCATAGCGTTTTACGCTTTCCTGGTTGGTCTTTCAAAAAAAATTTCTGTTAAGAGCTTCTTTTAATTGAAATTTCACAGATCAGTGGCAAATGATCAGACGGCGCTATCTGAGAAGGTAGGCCGACGTATCGCGTCGCCAGTTCTAGAGAAGGCGATGGCAGGGTGCGATCGACTTGGACATTTTCGTTAGCATAAATGTAGTCAAGGCATGCACTAAAGTTCTCGGTTATGTTCGTGAATGACCCTGTATCAGAAATGCAATGCAGACACATCGGAACCCGAAGATCACATCCAGATGAAGTGGTGCCTAAAAGACATTACACTAACGCTATGAAGTTACTGGGAAGAAACTAAAGCACTGATAATGTTTTACCCCAGTCAATATCGTCGGATGAGATTGCGCCATTTTTTATCAGCCGATGGACAGCCGAGTCCAAAGGACTGTTCATGTCTCCTGCGAAAATCAGCGCGACATTGCCTTCAGGATACTGTGCAAAAATCGAAAATATATGTACGGTACTTTACCAAAGTAGCGGGCAAAAACATACCTTGCGTTTAAAGCATTCTAATCCCCTGTTCATGTGCACCAAAGACAAAGCCGTCTGCCAAATGCGTACGTGAGGATGTTGCGCTTTCGAATGAAGATGGACGTTAACAATGCAAAAGAACTGTTTCTCTGAATTGCATAGTTTAAAAAATGACATCTGAAAAAAGCCTCGAACGTTAAAACATTCTGAACATCTACAAAAATATTCTTTAATCACGTGTTAAGATAATGAATGTACATTTGATTACTGACTATAAGGTGTGGCTTTGGTTTGTCTCAGCTGACGTCGTATA